AGAACTGAATACAGATGGGGGAATCATCCTGTCCGGGGAGATGAGCTTAGCTGTCCATAACCAACTTGGCCCTGCACAAGAATGACCTACCATCCAGTGGCAGGCTGGTCCCACTTCTTGTGAGATTCCTTACAAGGTATGTGGCAATCCTATTTAATGGCAGTTAAGAATACTTGTGTTTTAGGGAGGACCGGCAAGGAAGGCATAATGTTCCTTCTCTCTGTGGAGAACAGGAGGTCACTATGGGACCCTTACATATCTTATTTCACGCCATTCTTAACCTGATGGAGCTCCCTGAAAGAGCTTGTGCCCAATTTGCAGTTCATTCATTCAGTACTAGCTACAGATGTAAAATGCTCCCATGAAGGATCCTTCCATCTCCCCCAGAAGCCAGGAAAAGGTGAACAAAGCCTGTTAGTTCTAATGTTCATTCTAATGTTAAAGCAAGCAAGCAAACAAATGCAAGTCTGGAGGTCAGGGTGGGGAGAACATTCTTGCCCACTCCTGTTCCTCATCTGGGATCTCATCCTGCTGGTTAGGGAGAGGATATGCTTGGTAGGAGTGAGGAAAGACAGGAACGAAGAAAAGGGAAACTTCCAGAGCATATGTTCTTCTAAGAATGGGAAGTAACATCAACAGTTGGCAGCATCCACCCTTCCCCCGTCCCCAGCCCTGGAATGGGTGTGCCACCCTCTACACCAACCCCACAGCCCTCTCACTACTGAGGAGCAGACAAACCAGGCAGGCAGAGGAGTGGGTAAGCCCCCAGATGTCGCAGCAACAGGCCAATGAGGGAAAAGGCGAACTGTGGGTGCTGTTAAGGGTTCAAAGGGCTTTGCTTTGCAACAGGAGGAAATGCCCTCCCTGTGTTGGAAAATGATTACAGTGGACTTAGAGACTGAGATATGTTTGCTTTGCAAAAGCAATTTGCTTGAAGTAACTGGTGCTGTCATCTCAAAAGTTGGGACAAGAGTGACCTTTAGGAAATGGCTAGATGATTCGGAAGGTCCCCTTACAACAGTTATCCTGCCCTTTGTTCCTTTTTTTGAGTTGGGACTCAGTGTTTTGTCCCTAAACTTCCTTTAAGCTGCAAGGTCACCAAGGCAGCTGCAGACACTGCACTGTGCTTTTCCAGCTTCTCTTTGGACGAGAAGGAGACAAACAGTGCTACGGGAGACATGTTTAAGTTCATCTTTGCTTGCCTTTCTTGTTCCTGGGAACAAGGACACGCCTAAATTGCGGGATGTCAAATTTCCTGAGACTGCACTACTGACCACAGTTGTATGAAACTGACATGGCCACTCTTATGTGAGCAGTTTCTGTCCTTTGTTAGATGAGAAGCAGCAACCATTTCAGCATAGACCGCCTCCCTGATTTGAAAGCCATGGACTCTGGATCTGCAAGGTCAAGATTCAAATCCCACCTTGGGGCCCTTCTTTTTTTTTTTTTTTTTTTAATGGCTGCAAAGCACTGGCTAGTCACATGCTTTATTCATAGTTCCTTTTTTCTCTGTAAAATGTACTTTATAAGCTTACTCTAGGATGAATCTCAGGCACTGTATGTGAGCTTCTTACAGAGTCTGGCATAGGCTAAGGACTCTATGCATGTCCAGTTTCTATTTCTTACAGGACAGCAATATCCAACTATAAAATTCCAGAAGTCCCAGGCAGACTCAACTGCCTCTTGGAACTTGCAAAGCAAAGATATTTCTTCCCTATCCATCAAAATATTAAATCCACATGGAAGGCTGAGCCCTTCCTAACTGCAATGGATGACGTAATTCCGAAAGCAGAGTTGCATTCCTCTTGCCCCAGTGTTCATACAACTGGCCCCCAAATGCATTTGCTCATTTTTGGAGTGGAAAAGTGGGAGGTCAGGTGAAGCATTCCGTTGTCCTTGGCGGCCATCACTAAGACAACAGTAGCTGGCAAAGGTCTCTGTAATTAGCCATTTCAGGAACAGAGCCCATGAAAGCTGAACATCTCATCAGGTTTACCCAATCCTGGATACATTCCTTTCCCTTTGAGTCCAGCCATATGAAACTACATGTAACCACATAGCTGCTATTGATGGCGAGTTCTTACTCCTTGTCCATAGAGGTCATTTCCGGATCATTGTAAAGGCAGCTCGTTCTGAGTGCAGGAAAACAAACAAACAAACAAACAGGAAGTAGTCAACATTTTCTCACTCTTCTGGCCATGTCAGCATTACTGGCTGGGGCATTTGAAACTGTTTAATGTGGTACCATTTGCTACTCCTGTGATCCCAAATCTAAAACAAATGATGCTATTAACTTTCAACATCAGGTCTGAGATATAGTCATTACTCAAGATATAGAAATATAAAAAGATAATAATAGTAACAAAACTTCAAATACCTCCAGTGGTTATCTGTCCAAGCCACTTTTTCTTACTTTTCAAATCTGTTCTTATGCAGTGAACATAAATATTGAATAAAAATTTATTTACCTCAAATAATGAAACAATATTTTATACACAGAGGAAAACATTTTAAACAGCTGAATTTTGCTTAGGCATAACCCAGTCAGCCTTCAGGCTTCACAAGAATGAGGATTTTCCAAGGCATGGCAAGAAAAGACTGCCTGGGCCAGCTCTGCTTGATCTTGTTACAGGAGAGGGCCAGGACACTCCCCACTCCCCAGGGTTGAGCCGTGTTCAGGTGGCACTCACGAGTTCTAACACCACCTAAGCGGGACAGGTCCAGGAAGAAAAGTGTATTCGTAGAAAATAATGGAATTCAAGTTTTCAATGGTGTGTATGTCTTTGTATAACTTAGCTGTTCATGACATCCATATCAGTGTGATAACTATGCTAACAGATTTCAAGTTCACCTTATAGCAGCAGCTCCTAATACTACACTGTAGCTTTTACTTTTTCTCCCCTCCTCTGGCAAGTTTTTTTTTTTTTAAATGGGAAAAATCATTTAAAAGATTCTATGATCCTTTTTACTTATTTTTTAAAAGAAAGATTTAAGAAATGTGTATGAGTGTTTTGCTTACATGTAGTGCACTGCATGCATGCCTGGTGCCTGCAGAGATCAGAAGAAGTTGGATCCCCAAGAATTGGAGTTCCAGTGAGCTGCCATATGGGTTTTGGGCACATAAGCCAGGTCCACCCGAAGAGCAGTAAGTACTCTTAACTGCTGAGCTACCACTCCAGTTTAAACACAAGGGCTCCTTTTCCATGGAGAATAACTGGACGAGCTAATTTTCCCATTGATGAGGGTCTGTGGCTAGTTCACTATTTTCCCCAAAATACCAGGAGGCTGTTTCCCTTGCAGGTCACTGCCCCCCTCCTTCCTTCCCTCCCTTTCCTCACCCTGCTGGTGGTCTGGTATTTTTATGGACAAAGTTTGGCAAGGACAGTGAAGTAAGTACTGACAGTGAACTAGCAAAAGCCAGCAAAGCTGGAACAGACTCAGGAGAGGGCAGGCTTCCAAGGCCAGGCTCACTGCTTTGTAACTGGGGGACCTCCCCAAAGGAAACACAGCCAGCAGACATTTTAATGCTACCCCCGGAAAGGTGGAGAATGGACTCTTCCTCATTTGTGAACAAAGAATGGGTGTGCGTATTGTACAGACGCTTCCAAAGTATTTTCTACCCTCGTGTGGGTCTCAGGTTCAAAAGAAAGCTGTCAGGCTGAGCCATCTCTGTGGAGGTCAACGGGAGGTGCTGTGGAGCACACAGGGGAGAGGCAGAGGTTTTAAAATGCTGTAGGGACAGAAAACACAATAGGCAGGGAGGCTCTGTTCTTTATGCAGCACATATCTGACTCAGGTTAGAGCCAGTCCAAAGCTGTCTAACAAAACCACACGGACAGTCAGGGCATCTATTAACAGAAAGAACCCAAGGGGGGGGGAGCTAGCCTCCAACCTCAGATAAGCAGAGATCTTGTTTATGGAGCCAACAATCATCTACAGAGTCTGCCCCAGGATTTAGGGGCTGCATCAGAGACTAAAACCTAGCTAAGGAGGTACAGTGGGCACCCAAACGGTTGGACTTGGAGGCATTCCAAGCCTCTGTGGAACCAGGTGTGGTGATGCATGCCTTTAATCCTAGCACTGGGGAGGCAGAGGCAAGTGTATCTCTGTGAGTTCGAGGCCAGCCTGGTTTACAGAGGAAGTTCCAGGCCAGTGAAGGCTATAATAGTGAGACGCTGTCTCAGAAACAAGAACAACAACAAAACCACTAAAAACCAACCCGCTGTGGGGTCAACAGAGCTCAATTCATTTTCCTTATATATATGCAAATTTGAAAACACTTTTTGATTTTACCATCAAAAGGAACAGGATCAACTGGGGTGGGATTCTTCTGGCAAATATCTTACCCAACAAATCAGCATCAAGACAGCTAAGGCCATCTAATTATTTTTATTCAGGTATTTTTAATGCAAAGGAAGACCTCACTACTTAGCATTTACTCAGAATTTGTAACAGCCTTGGACATTGTTCAAGCTTTTTGCTTTTGTTATAAAAATTAACAGTATAAGCAACATTTAAAATAGCAAAGAAGCTTAATGTACTTAATACAGCAGGCTTTCTGGATAGCAGCTGTACACATTTAACACATAATGTCGGAGAACTTCTTTGTGGCCTTGAAGACGAAAAAAGAAAATGATTGGGGGCTGTTCCCAGTCAGCTCTGGCATGGCATTCCAGGGCTGTTCCTTAGTGCCACAAGGGCAGAGGTTAACTTGTAGATTTATGTCCTACAGTGATGCGACCATCTCTATCCAGTGGAAAAGATAACCTGATGTTAGTGCATTGTCCTACTGAACATTAATCAACTTATTATCTAACCCAACTATCTTATCCAAACAGCCTTTTGTAAATTCCTTATACCTCAAATCTGCAATTGTACTTTTTGCAGGTTCAGCTACAAGTGGCCAATCATGCTCTGAGAATATTAAATGGAAAATTACGGAAATAAATCACTCGTAAGTCGTAAGTAACTTCTGTCATGTTGCCTATTGTGAATCACAGGTATGTCTGAGTGCAGTCAGCGGTTGGAACCACGTATGGCTTCAGGTATCCATGCGGCACCTTGGAACAAGGGAAGAAGTGACTGCCACAGGTATGCCGCTCACATTCTCTTCAAGTTCCTGGGAACTCTTGACTGGTTCCCTCACTAAATAATTCACCAAATAACATCATTTGGCATGTGTTCGTTTTCTGTTTTCCTGACAGTACATCTTTGCCTTTTTCAGTATCCTGCCTCACAAGACTGGGCAATGACCACCCCCAATCAAAATAGCTTGGAAACTATTAAGTTAAGTGATAGTTCTTAAAAATTTACCAAGCATTTGTTTATTTTTACTATTACTTTATGTGTATGGTTGTTTTGTCTGCACGTATGTCTGTGTACTATGTGTATAAAATGCCCGTGGAAGCTAGAAGAGAGTTTGGGGTCCCTAGGACAGATAGCTGTGAGCAGTCATGTGGGAATAAAACCCTGATCCTCTAGAAGAACAGCCAGTGCTCATAACGGTTGGCCCATCTCTCTAGCCCCAGAGGGTTATTTAAATCTTGGAAGGCTGTGAAACTAATTCTACAAAAATCTGTCCAATTTTTATTTGCTACTGTTTCTCATAATATGAACTGGTGTGGTTCTGTTGCCTCAATCTATGTAAGGGTCATTCAGATGCCGCCACACTCTGTGTGACGATGCCTGTGATGTGTTTTCTGGTGATATCTAGAATTTCAGACACATTGAAAATAAATTAAACAGTGTCAAATGCTTTCCTTAAGATAACCAAGATAGCAGGGAAAGAGATGACAGTGAACACATCAATGGTTCCATCGGCCATGGGAGGAAGGGGCTTTCCCGGTACGGCATTATTATCAGGGGCAAGAAGAACACAGCAAGCATGCAGATTCTCCCCGTCATTCCCGGAACGCAAGCCAACGTCACACCAGCCGCAAAACCCAAACCAAGTCTTACTTAGCTGCTTCAGATGCCTCCCTCAGTTCTTCATCCAGTCTGCACGAGCAAAAATAATCGTTGGAGAAAAGAAACAAACAAACAAACAAACAAAAAAGCAAGCAGAGCGTGAGCATCTCCCGCAAAGCAGAGCCAAATGTAAGTGGTGGTGTGTATTCACTTTTTTTTTTTCCAAAACTGTCTCCAGGCACACTGAGACCCGCTCAGCTAAACATGGTGCCAATCCTTCCTGTTGAGCGGTCCTGTTCATTTACTTGGCAAATCCCTTCATAAAGGTGATATCGATGTCACAAAAGAACGAGAAACATGCTGGCTGAATAAAGCTCAGAACATCCATATCAGAGTGCTGGGTATAGTTAGCTCACAGCCTGGGCCAAGTCCGGGGTGTATCTGGTTTAGTAGGTTTCAGTAGCAGATCAGGTTGACCTCAACAGCTCGACACACAGACAAAGACTTTGAGGGGGATTCAAAGGACTGATACAACAGACTTCCTCAGGCAGCATGTTGAGGTCACCCACAAAAACAACACTGGAGCAACACACAGGGAGTCTAGCGTGAATACAGAGTTTTACCTCACACTTCTCTTAAAAGATTTTTCTTCATCGTACCTTACAAGATAAGAAACGGATGCCATGAGGACAGGGAGGGACAGGAGGAAATGACAGGTAAATGCTTGAAAGCAGTGGTTCTCAACCTTCCTAACACTGCGACCCTTTCATACAGTTCCTCATGTTGTGGCGACCCCCCAACCACAAGATTGTTTTGTTGCTACTTCATAACAGTAATCTTGCTACTGTTGGGAATTGTAATGTAGACATCTGCTGTGCAGGATATCTGACAGGCCACCCCCAATGGGGTTGCAACCCAAAGGTTGAGAACCACTGCTTAGAACAGTAAGAACACGAGAGAAAAACGCTTACCCAGACAACACGACTGGCTTTGGAGAGAAAACTCACTTGTGTTAGGCACAAAGAACAATTTACAATTCATAAATATACAGTCAATCCTCATTATTTGTAGATTCCGTGTCTGAAAACTTGCCTGTTCACCAAGACGTCTGAAATTTCCAGAAGCAATGTGCAGTGCTTTTGTTCACTTGTGGGCATGACAAGGCGACAAAAACTCAAGCTGCCGCCTGTGCACACGGTGAGTCGAAGTGGAGCAGGATGAGGCTGTGCCTTCCTGTCTCATAGAGTTTCTTTGGTAAATGTCTCCCTCATTTTCCTGCTTTTGGCTGGTGAATGTGCTATTTAGAATAGCAGTCAAGCATGTTACCAAATATTACCTACTGTTTGTAGGCAGGAGACGGCCAATGTATCTCACAGAGAATGCGTGCGTCCCATAATGCTGTTTTAGGTACAAGTTGTAGTTCTGGGTGCTTGAGTGCAAGACTGTGGTTTGTTTTGCTTGTTGGTTTGTTAGAGGGTCTTGCTGTGTAGCCCAGGCTGGCCCTCAGACTCTCTGGATCCCTGTGTTTCAGTCTCTGAGTGTTGTGATCACACACAGTTGCTGAGCACGGTGATAGTGAGTCAACAGTATGTGTATACACTAAGAAGCTTTCTCAGACAGAGCCACACATGAGCCAAGGTTATGTACTGGCTGGTGATAACAACATTGCAACCAGAGGCAGACAGGATCCCAGGCTAGCATTTCCCCAGGAATAATAGCCCAGTGTCCACCGAGTGTCTACAATGACTTTATTGAACACAACTGTCCCTGGCTAATGAGAACCAACTGTAATTAATGAATATAAACTGTATTTCAGCCCATTGATGCCAGGCTCCACCCAGCTGAATTTTGGTCTTGGGATCACTTGGGATCAAATGCTTTGAATGTTACTCAGTGAAAGAAAATAGCTGTGGCTGCATCAATTTGGAAATTGCACAATGTGGAAATGAAGCAATGAGGCTAATAAAAGAAATGGTACCCTGAGATGCACCGTGATGACAGGAGGAAACACAGATGGGGTAGGGTGGGGGGGGAACGCAGTGCTAGGTTCTTCCTCCAGAAAACGAATCTTTCTACATGGAACTCTTCCTCTTGAAGCAATTTTCCCAAAATGTAGCCCTTGGAGAATAGATGGGAAGCGCCTGGCCATGGCTAGCTTCTCAATGGACACCCCGCCCCAAGTACAGTAATTCTCCAAAGCAATGCAGTCATCATCAGCATCAGCAGCACTGTAGGCCTCAAGCTCTGTGCTCACCGCCGTCTGCTCACTGCTCTCATTCAATCCTCAGGCCCATCCACACTCTCAGAATTACTTCCCCATTCTATGGATGTGAACACTAAACCTCTGAGGATTTTCATAGGCTGCCTGAAGTCTCAGAGACATTGAGAAGCGGGAGGAGAGCTTCCCACTGAATTGCCTCCAAAGTCCATCTTTTCATTCCACTGTCTCTGCCAGTGGAATGGGAGGCCTTGCTGTTGTTTTTTTTTTTTTTTTTTTTTTTTTTTAATGGAAAATGGCCAGTGCTCACTCCCTGAAGAAGAAAGACTGTCCTTGTCATCTTTTGCAAAGGTACAGCAGTACAGGAGGAGATTGACAAATGATGGCAATGGGAGATAGAAGCCTGTCAGGAAGTTTTAGGGGCAGGCTCCTCAAAAAGGAGCAGTTCTGATTTTTGTCCTTGAACAGAAATATCTGCAGTTCTGTCCGGGCTGAAGATTAGAGATGCAAGTGTGTTTGGGGCTATTGCCCTGGTTTGGGTTCTTATCTTTCTTCATTTACACAGCAAGGACTACTGTTGCCTGGAAGCTATATATGGGGCTGTGACAGAAACTGGGGCACACGAATACCTGGTGGGTAGGACAACTGGGCTGAGCAGATCTGCCCCCATGCCCCATCCCATGCCTCAATCTAGAAAAACCTTCTTAATCCCTAGATGGGAACATTTGATGGTGCCTTTTCCTTGTGCTTTGCTGGTATATCATCTATAAGCTCCCATATGAACCTGTGATAAACTCCTTCCTAAGACTCACCCTCCCCATTGTCTGTGAAGTTCATTGAGTCTGTGAGAAGAAGGATAACAAAAATTTTATTATTACCCCACTCGCCTGGGGTGACTTTTGGTGCCTGTTAGTTTTCCAGGACCCTAGGCACTGTCCCACCAGCTACAGCTTGCCTGAGTCTTCCATTGCTCCCAAGAACCTCTGCTTACCCCATATCACCATTACTTAAAAGAGGAGTAGGTTTGGGAGAGGGTGCAGCTTATGGCATGCAGGCCAGAGCTGGAGGGGGCATTGGTTGTGGGAAATCTGCAAAGCTCCCGAGGACTGTAGCCCTGGTTAGGATCTCATGAGTACTGCTTGGCTCAGCTGAGCCTCCTGACTCCAGTAAGTCTGTTAGTATGCTGTGTTCAGGCCTGATCTGGCTGATGGCGGGAAATCCAATGCATCTACTTAGGAGCTACTGGATAAAGATCCTACTAGAAAGGCATGTGGGCATTTGGTGACAGGCTAACCTGGATTTGAACTCTGGTTCCACCCCTGCCTGGTTCCTGCTCCTATTTCCATAAGTAACTTTTTACTAACTTATCTCCTGGCCTCTGTAAAATGGGTTTTGATATGAGAGTTAAGTGTGCTATATAAACACAGCTCTTCTTTGTTCCACGGTAACCGGTAACGGTGAACAAGAAGACCCTGGCTTCTAGGTGTTGCTACTGAGATGCCTTGGGCGCCCTCATTGGAAGGTCAGTTTTGCTATCTATTTTCTGGAGGGAGATACAAAACACTTGTCTTTTTTTCTTAGAGTTCATGATCAAGTTCCTTTCTAGCTTAATGAAACAAACAAACAAACAGACAGTCAATCAGCTGTATCAAGAGTTAAAAAAAAAAAAACCCAGATGCACAGAGAATTAATGGCTCTATGCAATGATGTACCAGATAGGAATGTCCATTCTTTAACGTCTCTGTCTTCATATTCCAGTTCCGAATACTCTGAGTTAACTTTTATTACCACTTTCAGACATAATCTTGACACCATAGTACATGTGCTTCTGACCTACAGGCTGCCTCCTTGCCTGGTCCTAAGCAAGGAAATTATTTCTCACCACCCACCCACTCCTCAAGAATGTCTCTCTATCTAATCTTCCATTCAAAGGCAATCATCAGGACAGTGGAGGAGTGTTTGAAGAAAATAGTCATTTCTTTTATCTATTTTTCTGGGGTCATGCAGACAAATTACTTATGAAGAAAAAAATCCAAATTATGGGAAGACCTTAATGTAAAGTAGAAGGTCACAGATATAAATATTCTAGTTAATATTAAATACACACTGTCTTCCAGAGTAGAAACAAATTTCAAAGTAAAAATGTCAATAGTTAATCTTGGTTGGAAAAATATGATCAAAATGTATTGCATGAAATGAAAAATTTTAAAAGTCAGAAACTAATCATTACAAGTTGTGTGAAAGAGGATCTGAAAGAATAATAATTTACAGGCTATAGCGAAAGCTTTATTTCTTAGATAATACTATTTCCTTTAAAAATAAGATGCCATTTCTCATTATTCTAAAGTGAGTGTTTTTCCACCCCCTTTCTCCAGCGTGTACTATTTCTCCCCAGAGCTCCAACCCCTCAGACTTACTTGATGATGCTCTCTGGAATGTGGATGCAATCCATTGGGATCAGCCCACTGAGCTCCGATAAACTAGTAACGTATTTAATTTTACTGCTGAATTTTGAGCTGGAAGACAAAAAGGAGGAGAGCCTCTTAGCATCAGTTGCTACACTTCCCTCATAAAGCCATCGTCTCTTCCTGAAAGCCTTCTTGTGATTCTTTTCCATGTTATTGGCAATAGGGCTCTCACACATGCTAAGCATCTATCTACTCTGCCAATGACCTATACCCACATCTTGCACTCGTGATAGGCTCAAGCTTGACCCAGCATGCTTGCTGAGCAGAAAGGATAACACTGTCTCAGCCATTCTTATCGACCAGGCACTGCTTTATGACCATTTTTTAACACTTTTTTTTTTTTTTGAGAAGTCCATACATGAGCAGTGCATCTCCATCATGATTGTCTTTCCCTTTCCACTTCTTTTTTTGTTTGTTTTTCAAGACCAGGTTTCTCTGTGTAGTTTTGGTGCCTGTTCTGGATCTCACTCTGTAGACTAGGCTGGCCTTGAACTCGTAGAGATCCCTGGCTCTGCCTCCCAAGTGCTGGGCTTAAAGGCATGCACTACCACTGCCCAGCCTCCCTTTCTACTTCTCTTTCTTCCCTATCCCAAATTCAAGATCTCTTCTTTATTATTGTTATATACTATACATAATACCTTTCTCTCTCTCTATATATATACATATATACATATATATATATGTCAATTAGAAATAGTAGAAACAGTGGGAATCGCCATTACTGTTTTTCATTGACAAAGATTTTTGTATATATTTCTTCTTTACACAGCAGGTGCTCTGAAGTACTAAGTGCTTTGCAGAACTGCTCATTTGAGCTAGGTAACACCTGCCACCTCACATCCTCATTTGTTTTTGTTTTTGTTTTGTAGTGAAAACATTTAGAATCCACCTTCTTAGAAATTTGAAAATGTAAGACAGTTTTTATTAATGCTAGTCATCATGCTGTAGAAGGACTTTCTTGAACTTTTTTATTTTCTATCTGAATTGTGTACTCTTTGAGCATCTTATAACATTGGCACCTTGAATTTATCAGTTGACTTTCCACTTCTGTAAGTCCCATGCTTTCAGATTCTACAGACAGCTCTCCCTCACCATCCATGGGCATCGGTTCCAGGAATCACCACCCACCCCCGGATGCCTAGATCCAATAGTGCAATGTCAAGACCATGCAAGTTTGACTGCTTGCTTGGGGGCGGGGGGAGCACTAAAAAACCACAAAAAAAAAGCTGTATATTCTTAGAGTGTCTTGCCTGTTTAATATTTTCTATCAGTGATTGGCTGAACCTGTACATGAAGATCTTACAGATACAGAAGGCAGAGAACATTTTCAAACACAATCCCTTTGCAATAGGAGAAACCCAGAGTGACCGAGACATATCTGAATAGTGTACTGGATCTGTATAGATACATATCTGTATCTCAAACGGAGACTCAATAGCAGGGCAGGAGCCTGGCTTTATTTTGCAGTCATGCTTCCGTTTCTGGAGAGTCAACCTTTTCCCACAAATACAATCCTATCACTGGCAAATGTCCAGTCTTCTTGGGGTCCCAAGACATGATTTTTGACACAGAGAGCTGCACATGGACAAAGTACCTCAAGGAGTGACAATCTTCTCTCTCCAGATGGGCTCTGCCCACTCCACAAATTTGGAGCCTTTTGGGTGTGAGTTTTGAATAATCCTATTTGGTTACTTTTTGTTGGTTTTTTTGTTTGTGTTTTATTAAATTTTTTTCCATACAATGTATTTTGATCATGCTTTCTCCTCCCTCAACTCCTCCCAGACCCTCCCCATCTCCTACCCACCCAATTTCACGTTCTCTCTCTCTCTCCTTTTTTCAAAAGAAAAATTGGTGTTTGTTTTGTTTTGGTTTTCATTGCCTTTTGTTTACTCTGGGAATCAAGCACCTGCTCCTGCTTTTGTGTTTCCTACATGCTCCCCAAACGAGTAACCCAGCCTAAGTTGTGCAATTTTTCTGTGTCTGGTTTGTCCTGGGGATTGAGACCTAAGTATGAGTCTCAGTGAGAGCATCCATCTTTCTGGGCTTGGCTCCAGCAGGTGACTCGTAGCAGCTCCTTCTGAGATGGAATGAATGAGGAGGGATCTCCAGTGACTCTTGGGTCCTGGCCACAGCTCATCATTTAGGAAATCCCTATGTCCACCTCTCTGCCTGCACTCATGTCTCTCTGATTTCCCCCATTATTAACTCTTTCCTCACCTTCATCCTGACAGGTCACCAACAGTGCCAAAATGCCAATTTATGGAAAAGTTTGCATAAGAAGCAATTTTTCCTATTCACAGAGGGCTTTGGAACACATTGATATCTAATTTCAGGAATTTATTTGCTTAACAGAAATGTCTGGCGGGAAGTGGCTCACACGTAGCTACGCAATGAGATAGTCAACAAGGGAACCACATTCTTCCATGTAGAGTTGCTCTCTGTCCATTTAAAATGGGATTGGCTGAGGTCATTCTTGCCTGCAACAGTGACCTTTCTACTTGTTCCTAAGTCCTGTCCATTTCTCTCCAAGTTCTATCCTGTACGTGGTTTGAATGAGAAATGTCCCTATAGTCTTGGGCATTTGACCACTTGGTCCCCAGTTGGTAGCATTTTGAGGGGTGGGGAGGTTCAGGGTGGTGGAGACTTGCTGGAGGAACCATGGTATTGGGGCAGGTTTTGAGATTCAAAGCCCCTAGTTATTTCTAGGTAGCTCTTTCTATTTCCTGTTTGTGGTTCAGTATGTGTACTCTCAGCTTCCGTTCCTGTCACTGTGCCTGCTGCTTGTGGCCATGCCTCTGTGCTGCCATCATGGACTCTCATCCCTCTAGAAATGCCAGCCAAATTAAATTCTTTTCCTTAAGTCACCTTTGGTCATGGTGTTTTAGCATAGCAACAGGAAAGTAACTAAAACATGGAGTTACAGTTTGAAAAAAATGTTGTGAGCATTTAGTCTCTTTCTCTCTCTCTCTCTCTCTCTCTCTCTCTCTCTCTCTCTCTCTGTCTGTCTGTCTGGAATGGCTGGCTGGTTGACTCTCTGTGTCTGAGTGTGTATATTGCATGTGCCCGTGTGTGCATTTATAGAGGGGTGAAGCTGACATCAGTGTCTTCCTCCACCTTATATGTTGAGCCTGGAGCTCACTGATTGGCTAGACTGCCTGGTCAGAGTGTCCCTCCCCTTCTCCTGGGATGCTCCTGTCTCTGTCTGCTAGCACTGGAGTCCCAGGCATGCACTTGCCATACCCTGCTTTTTACTTGGGTGCTGCGGATCCAAACTTGGGTCCTCATGCTTCTTCCCACAGAGATGGCCTCTGCAGCTGTGTTCAGCAGAGGCTGGGACACCTGAAAACCTGGAATCAAATCATGGCAAGAGAGGTGCTCTCCTCTCCCCCTCCTTTACGTGGTGTGGTCTGAGTGTTCATGCTGCTTCGGAATTCTCTTGTAGAGACAGCGAGAGCTCTCCCTAAGGGCTCTGCTCCGTCTACTCAGCTATAGTGAAAGTATTGGGCTACAAAATCATTTCACAGGTGTTTTTTGAGGCTCTCTCTTGCCCCATGGTCTAGAGATCTAAGGATTGAATACTCTTCGAAGAGCTACCTTGGCAAGTTACCCACAGCTTCTTTGGGAATGTAGGCAGCAGCACTAAGAAACAGGTGTGGGGTGGAGACAGCGATAAGCCTCAACCACTAGTTTGAGTTCAAGTCCCCAGAAACTTGATACACTCTGATTTGCTGTTTCCTTGAAGCAATTAGAGTTGAATTGCTGTCATTTAAAACCAAAGAACAGGTGCCCTACTCCAGGCTACTAGCCCATAGTCCATAACACTTTAAAAAAATACAGTTCATTAAGTTCCTCATACTTTAGTCAATAGTTAATTTTTGCCAGCAGAATCTTGCCACTCAATTGTTAGAAGTCAGGAATGAGAATGCTAGTAAATATCTTAATATTTAATATTTTAATTACTGTTCTAAATGCCACTCCCTCTAAAGAAATCTGGAAGGTACAGTAAAATAATCTTTTTTACATATATACATACAATGCACAAAGGCAGATACACACACATACTTTGTATTTAATTATTTTCTTCAGAATACTGTAGTTTTAATGAGGAATTTATTAATAACTTTGAGCCAGGAAAAATTTTTTTTTTGTATTTATTGTATTTATCTGCCTTGATGGTTGTGTGAGACATCATTCTATTTTTAAAGATTACTGGAAAATAAATACTGTTCCATCCAATTAACTATTTTAAGCTTACTATATTATGAACCATGTTTTATTTTCTTCACATCTCCAAACATCAAGTTACATAGCACCTAAGTCAAGTGTGGAGTAGTCACTGAATAAAAACAATGAATCCTTACATTTGAGCCCAATACAACTCCTGAAAACTGCCCCTCAGACTCATCTCTCAAGTTTGCTGACTGCACAGTTCTTGCCCGGAAGACACAGCACACTGAAGGCCTGTGCTTTTGCCCTTCCTAGTTTTTCTTGTCTCGTGTCACCCAAATGTTTTATTTCTTACACTTAACCTATCTCCACACAAGCACTGGCTAATCCTCCCTCTGTGCGGCATGGGACTCTCAAAGCTTCATAGCCCACACTTACAGGAAGCAATTCAGAGGCCAGGTTTTGCAATGACTGAGGAAAAGACTTATATGAAGCAATTATCACTTTTTTTTTTTTTAAGCCAAGAGTTTGCTATGAACCTCGATGTCCTGAAACTTGGAATCCTCCTGCCCCAGCCTCCTGAGTGCTAAGATTACAGGTGTGTGCCATCACATCTACCCTTTAAAAGAGGACTCTGGATGCATAGTCCAAAGTATCTTTGCAGGAAGGTAGAAGTAAATTAAGTTTTCCTGGATTCTCTTAGTTTATAAATCCCTGATACAGGAAAATTCACATACTCTGAAAATACGTTATCATACAGTCATCCTGTGACCATCACAGTTATACCTTATAAAAGGCCGCGTCACTGCAAGGATTGTTCTGATGAACCAAGATGGGTGCACAATGATGAATGACTTCAAATTCTTGCGCAACCTATTTAAAAAAAAAAACAACACAATTCTACGTTGTTTTAAACTGACTTTCCATTGGAAACAGAAAACAGATCCCCAAATAAGAATACATGAAATTTTTGGGAAGTATTCTAGGAAAGTTACAATTTCTGATGTACAGGATGTCCAGGATTAATTTTTAAAATGCCTTTTGATTTCTCTCTCTCACTCTCCCCCACTCTGTACATGTGTGTTCATTCACTTGGGAATGTGTGTAAGTGTCTACGCATTCCTGCAGAGAACACCAACGTCAAGTGTCATTCTCTGAGACAGTCTCTCACTGAGACCCCAGGTTTGCTGATCAGACTCTGCTGGCTGGCCAGTGAGCTCCAGGGATCTGCTTGTCTCTGCATCCCCAGAACAAGGCATACAAGCATACACCACCAAACTTTTTTTTTTTTTTTTTTTTTTTTTTAATGTGATGCTGGGAATTGAACTCAGGTCCTTGTGCTTGCCTGGCAAGCACGCCATACACTGAACTATCCCGCTAGCTTCCTGAAATAATTTTTGAGCATAATTAGACACTTAAATCTCATTTTCCCAGAGGCACAAATGTAAAAGAGAAGGGTGATACTTTTACAGTATACAAATTTACAATAATTGGCATATTTTTTGCTTAATGATGCTTTTCAGTTTGTTAGCCTTATCTTTGTTAATTTGAAAAGAATATGTTTTCAGTGACAATTTAGATTGTTAATTATTTGTTTATTATTTTTGTTTTTGAGACAGGGCCTTGTGTAGCTCAGGCTGGCCTCAAACTCACATATAGCTAAGGATTACATCTAGCTTTTGATCCTCCTGCCTCCACCCTCTGAATACAGAGATTACAGGTGTATGCAGGTAATGGAATGCAGAGCCTCATGAGAGTTAGGTAAGCATGCTTCCAGCAAAGCTACATCCTCTGTCCCTTGATAATTTATTTGGTCTGACTAAGCCTTATTTTGTTCTTATATATAAAGTAAATTTACCATTGCAAAAATTCTTGCATTTCAGGCACATTTTTCAGTATTAACAATACTACTTTATTATCATTGGATCATAAAATAGATTTTAGTTAAATGTAACAAGGCACTATCATGGCATTATGAAAGAAGTCTCATCTAAGGGGATATAACATATACTAGATACCATAAATGTTTTATTATTTTAATTTATATATATATGACAATAAAGTTTGTCTGAGCAGAGAGGTATTTTGAGGAAGGTGCACACGAAGGCGGTGCTGGGCTAGCAGACATCTTGAACTGATAGAAATGCTGAAATAATACAACGGTCTCATGAATCATCATTACCCTAATGCAGTGGTTCTCAAACTTCCTGATGCTGTGACCCTTTAATATCATTCCTCATATTGTGCTGACCCCCAATCATAATTATTTTTGTTGCTATTTCATAACTGTAATTTTATAGAGGAGCAGTGTCTCAGCTCCTAAGACCATTGAAATTATGTGTTTTCTGATGGCTGCAACCCACAGGATGAGAACCACTGCCCTAATACATAAAACAGTCGCTGGGTCACATGACACCACGAAGGACTCATGAGTACCTAGGTTTGCTTATTCAAGTTGCACCAGCACACTTGTAGTCTAGAGTGGACCAGATCTGCCAGGGGCAGGAGTGGTGTTCATAAAATTTAGGGGTGATTGGCTTTGCTTAGCTTTAGGCATTATGTGGTACTTCCATTCATATTTTTACAACTTCCTGCTTCATGTATGAGCAACCCACTATCTAAGATAAGACTGTATTATAGGCTAGAAGAATATTAGATATGAGAGCTAGTGAGGAGTCAAAATAGTGCTTAAATGGAGGCACCCCCATACCGTCTGTCAATCATCTGGTAGCATTTCTTCATCCAGCCTAACCCGGGCATCTTCCGTCTTGGGGTTGCACCATTCAAGTACACAATCATGTAGTCTTCAGCTACCATCAGCTCTAAGGTACTTATTACATATCTGATCACAGGAAGGGAGAGAAATATCTTCAGTTCCCACATGAAAGACTTCATTCTATTCGCACTGTAATTCAGTGACATTCAAATTACAGGGTGAATGACATGGAAGAGTAGTGGTGCATGTTATCTCGTTTTCTCTTGAGAACAATGCACCAGCATTGCCCTTTTATTTGTGTATGTGCAGCCACCCTAGAAAAATACGTGGGTTTAAAAGGTGACGTAAAAAAATGTCAGCAATGTTATCAAATGTTAAGGGCAACTCAGATTAAACAAGGGCAAAAGTCAGTGGGGGCAGTTCTCCACCGCTAAGAACATGTTATCAGAAACAAAAACAATCCTTTGCCCAAAGGAAATGTTAGGAAAGTTGTAACTATGGCTAGAGACAGAGTTCTACAGACAGAGTTCCCTAGAACAAGGCTCCTTCACAGAAATACTACTGGCTTCTTATCGAAGGCTTAAGATCGGCTATGCCATATACCCGCGCAGTTAAAGACCTTTATCAGCTACCACATGCCCACGGATGTCAACCCAATCTCCACTCACAGGAAAAGGTTTTCCATGACATAGTGGTAATCCGCTCGGCTGCTGTCTGGCAGAAAACAGGCGGCAAACACAATGATGGCATTCAGACCGTCCCCATAGTATCCTGGGGACAAATAAAAAGATACGTGTAACTGAATGAAATCCCTTAACAAGGTCGTATCGCTCCTAAAAAGAGAAATGTGGCATCTTGTCCAGAGTGTGTGTGCATATAAATGAGATATAACATGAAATGAGCAATCATACCAAAGAACGTTCTGTATATACATATTATATACATATATATGTGTGTATATAATATGTATATTTATGTATGTATTTATCTTTTAGTGGTTAACATATTTATATAGAGTCTTGTATATATAATATGAGACAATACTTTGACTCATAAGTCTCCAACTTAAACAACACTAACTTACAAAAAAGCAAATCTATATAAAATTTCATTCTGATTGCTGAGAAAGGTTCTCTTAGATCCACATTGGTTCTTCTAGTTTAAGATCTAGTGAACTGTGACAATTTAGTCAGTGAATTGTAATTTAATCCCAGACCCACACACTCCAATAACCAAGGCCTAGTAGAGAGACATGCAAAATACCTTTATTTTGATTTCCAGCCCTAGTCACTTGACAGTAATGATCCTGGATTCTCTCGATATAACAGGAAGTACAGGAATAGAAGGTAACTTCCAGCCAGGCCCAGAATAACAGCACAGAATTCACAGCTTCACAGCTTAGAGAAAGCAGTGTACTAAAAAAAGGGGCCTACCTAAATTCCCTTGAGCCCTATAGAGATATGTGCATTTGGGAAAAACCTGAGATTCATTTCCAGATGAGATGGGTGGGAGGTGGAAGTGCTATTTGCAGGTGGAGCTGAGAAAAAGAGGATCTGTGAAATGCAAGTAAACGCACCATTCAAACTCTGAAAGTCGGGGAATAGAAAGACACATCTCAGGACATCCTTCCCATCTTCTGAAATAACTGATGTAATCTTAGCACTGCCTCAACTTTTTCCCACAAGCATTCTGTTTCCTCAGATCTCATCTCTGAAAGTGATGGCAGGTGCTGATCAACTACCCAAGGGTAAGTGCAAGGAATAAAATATGTCTCTGATACTTAAAGAGGAAGACCATGCCCTGGATTGTCACTGGGGAAGCACTGGGGATTGAACCCAGGACTTCACATGTGTTACACTCACACTCCAGCCTTGATTGGTTTTAAATATGTCCCTTTGTAATATTAGGAACTGAGCCTCGAGTCTTAAGCGTGCTATCAAGCACTCCACCACTGAGCTACGTCTCCAGTCCTTAATCCTTTTTATGCAAGGTCTTGCTAAACTGGGACGCTCACCTTGAACTCACTCTGGAACTTTCAACTTGGAATTCTCATGTTTCAGCCTCCAGAGTAGCTGGAGTATAGGCACAGGCCACTAGACCCTAGTCACATTTGTTTTTCTTATCTACTTATGAATTTATGTATTTATATATTTATTTAGTGTTTGAGTGTGAGATGCATGTACAGACATGTTCCCTGGCACACCTTATGGAGGTCAGAGGACAACTTGTGGGAGTCAGTTCTCTCCTTTGAACACAGGGGTTCTGGGCATGAAACACATGTCACCAGGCAGCTGAGCCATCTCACCAGCCCATTAAATGTCCCCAATGTATACACTTGTAGTTTACATCATATTGTTCCAAATTTACGGTCATTACATAGAGATGCCTTTGGAGCTTTGAGCAAGGCAGGACAAGAGTGCTCATAACTCTGATTCTGCTCTCCTAGAACTCAGTGTGTTTCGTTTTCCTTGGAGCTCTAGCTCTAGCAGTGACACAGGAGGAAGATGCTGGCAGTAGATGTGGATGGCCCCCTCTTGAGGAGCAGTTTCATAAGATGTCCCCTACAAAGACACCAAGTGTGACTCGATCACCAATAAAGCAGAAAGAAAAGAACTAAAAATGCATCCTGTGGTGAGCTTGTGAGTGTAACTAATTTGGGGTGTTGGACAGGGTGTTTATGCCCTGTATCTTATAAAATGCTATGCATGTTAACACTACATCTGGTGCAGTACGTTTGTAAGCCAGCATCCCCTTAGCCTCCCTCTGGACTTCCTGCTTCAGTCCCATCAAAACACTGTGTAGTTGTTTATCACCTTCTTTTTATAATGTTCACATGAAGGAAACTTCAAGACAGACATTTGATGTGAGGAGTTCTTGTTTCTGGGGGCTCACAAGCAAATGGAAATCCACAAGGGATGTAGGAGCAAGCCAACATGAAGACATGCAATTCAGACAGCACAGGACAACGTAAGCATCCCACACAAGAGAGTCAACGTCACCGTCCTAGTGGAAAAACCAACGTGAACACATCTTTCTAAATGTGGTTGTCGGCTGTGGTGTCAGAATCATGAGATCGGGACTACTCCGAGAAGCGGAATTCCTAAGAAACGTTAGTTAGCATGCTCAAAATGCAGTGGCAGTGCCCAACCTCTGCATCCTCTAACAACGGAGCACACAGGGACCACTGTCGAAGCGAGGGGTTAGCTTTGTACCAAAGTTGCTGAGATTTACAGATGAAAGCGGCTCCCCGCACTGGGTGGAGGAGCGGCCCGAGGAGACAGGGAAAGTGAAAGGGGAGAAAATGAGAGCGCAGGAGGCGATGTGAGAAAGGGGACAGAAGAAAGGGATTTCCATGTGAAAGCGTGTCCCCCAGGCTGTGAGCTGATATCTCTGCAGTGAGGCTCTGGACACATGTGAAAACTGGTTCACTGGTAAGTGAGCAGCTAGGTCGCTGCTAGGTCCTACCTTAGAATGAATGAATGAATGAATGAATGAATGAATGAATGAACGAATGAATAAAACAAGATTTGCTGGGCAAGAGCAGTAACTAGAGTGAGAAACTTTGCTTTTTAGTCTTCCGATCAGATGCTTTTCGGGACCAACTAACCCCTCAATTTCTACCCCAAATCATGCCACTTTTCAGGTAAAAGTTGGTAACAGCATCACTCATGAAATTTGGTTTGTCTGTCCGTTTGTACTGGGATTGTAGCTAAGTGCCGGCGCAGTCTACGGCAGTGTTCTACTGTCGGGTCACATCTATAGTCTTACATTTCATTTTGAGTCAGGGTCTCAATAAAGTTGCTCAAGGTCGGCCTTGAGTTGCTCTTTAGCCTAGGAAAGGCCCAAATTTAGAACCCCTTCATCCCAGACTCCCAAGTAGCTGGAATCGCAAGCCTGGCTTGGAGTTTGGTTGCTTAAGTATTTATTTGTCAGGCTCTGTTCTCATGAAACGAGAGGTGGCCGTAGGACGCACATTCTGGGGGGCGTCAGCAATCCCACCGTGGAGCCTCCTGAGGCCCTGGGGAGCAGCGATGGCAGGCCTTACCTGAGGTGACACAAGAGGCATGAAAGAGTTGTGACACAAGTTTGCTGGCCAGCAAATGGAATGGAGAGAGAAGGGAAGGTGTCGTCACAGGTGCGACAACAGAACACAGGCTCGCGCGCACGCGCACACACACACACACCAGCCAGCAACGCTTCTGCCCATCCTTTCCAGGCTCTTTTGTCCAGCAACACTGCAGAGAAGGTTACCTGAGTCTCCTAGAGTGAAATAAGAGAAGTAGAAAGAGAACAAGAGAGGAAACTCCTTGTTAGCATCCTTCAGTGTGATTGTTCTTGGTTATTCAGTGAGCTTATTCTCAGCTCTAAGTTTAAAAAAAAAAAAAGATCAGTTCTGGCTTCCACCTGACCCCATGACACTGGCTGCGTAAAACCACCCATCATGCTTTTTTCTTTCTTTTTTAGAATATTGCTCATGGGACCATAGGCTGTGAACACTGGCATCATCGCAATTCGCCTCTTTCAGGTGATAGAGCAACTGAGGCCAGAGAAGGTTAGGGGATGTGCCAAGGTCACAGACCCTGAACTCAGCTTCTGCTCCTTGCACAGGGTGTCCATGCCAAGGTCACCAAATCTGAAAAGTGGATTAGAAACACAGCTGCGCACACTGGGCAGCATCTGACTGTGGACCAATTTCTTCAAGCTTTTGGTCGCTCCGACCTTACAGTTTCCTGCACTGAACACTGCCCTGCCAGAAGTTTCCTTGGGAGAGATAGGAAACATCTTCAGAGCAATATGGAGCAGAGGAGCAAGACTCGTGTTCAGTGTGCTGTCTGTTTTGACAGAAGTCAGGCTGACAAACTTGGCTGGCAGCTAAGACGCTGGGTCATCAGAGTCCAAGACAGTGATGTAAGTTTCCAACGTGGAAGACTAAGCTTTGTCAAATTCAGAAGGAACATCTGAGCAGTTTTTACCAAGAGCACAAAAGCTGGCCAGCATGGAGGAGGAGGAGGAGGTGGCTTCTTGACAGCGGCCTGAGGGTACAGCCAGAAGGCACAGTCATGCAGCTGAAGGAGACTGAGGCAGAGCCAGGGAAAGGAGAGGTGGCCTTCTCTTCAAAACAAATCGACAGTCACTCAGACAAAAACCAAATGCACACAACATACTGTGTGGAGATGAGCAAATGCCAAGGGGAGGTGGGGGCAAGGATGGAGCTCAGCAAACCAGGTCCCCCCCCTCGCCCCCCCCCTCGCAGGTCACAGACGGACTTTAATAACCATGGCAGGCAGAGAGAGTCTCGCCCACCAGTGCACTCTCTGTGACCACTTGGCCTGATTCCAGTGACTTGGACACCAGGTCACCCAACCCACTTGATTTGACTGAGTTTAAAAAAAAAAAAAAACCAAGAGGTGAATCTACTAAGGTATCAAGAGGTAGTTTGGCCTTACAGTGACAGCAGAACTGTGGCCTGCCTTTCCATGACATGGGGCTGTAAGGCAAAGAGCTAAGGGCAAACACATGCAGACATCATTACTACGTGACTTTGATTTACCCCAGCAGACTTTTCTATATTTCCCATGCATTTTAGAGAAAGCACAGGCCACTTTTATAGTCAACCTTCGTGAGGTTTGTTTGTTTGTTTACTACCCCAAAACAAACAAACCAAAAATACCAGGGGGGCACCTTGAAGCAAGAAGGACTCCTGTGAACATTGGAGGAGGGCTCCAGTTCTGCTTCTCACCCCAGCAAGAGGCTGACTTTACAGTCCTCTGTCAGTCTCTACAAGCTTTGCTCAGCTTCATTCCAAAGGGCTAAGGAAGAGATTCCTCCCACAGAGTCCCACCTCTGCCCACAGCAGCCATCACAGGGCCACGCTGCCATTCCAGATTACACATGAAGGCAGGAAATACAAAAGTCAGGGTCAAGGGACCTCAAGGGCATTCTATTTCTGTCCATCGGTTTCCTTGGGTGGCCCTGGTACTCATGGAAGGTAGTGGTGCATAGAAAGGAAGGTGAGAGATCTCTAGGGGGAGGGACAGTTGACCAGGATATTTGTGGGCACATCAGAAAGCAAATGCTATTGATTTAACGCAGTATGAAGAAGGGCTGAGGAGACAGCTCAGTGGTAGAGCCTTTGCACGGCATATGCAAGCCCCTGGCTTCAACCCCCAGCACTGAGAAACCAACTCTTAATGAACTGCCAAATCTTATTTTCCAGTTCTCCTTAAGGCAGAGAGGGCACTGACAGCAACAGCTGCCTTGTGAGCTTGTACCTTTTCTTGGATGGCTAGATAGAGAGATGCCTCAAGACCCCAGGAACGGGATGCATGCAGCAGACAGGTCAAACAGCCAATGATGCTTTCTGAAGTCAACAACGTTCAATGCAATGCCTGTGTTCATCTGACTTTTTTCTGAGTCTCCAATTTAATCAAAGCCACTTATGTGCCTGGAGTCCCCAGGTAAACACACTTTTCCCTCTCCAGGATCCCTTGCTAAAACAGAGGTTATGACTGTGGTTAACTTTTGTCTGTCCCAAATTTAATGTGGTTCATAGGAGAATAGACTTTCGGTAGGGAAAATAACTACTGGGCTGAGTCTAAAATGATGTGCTGGAGCCTCTGACGTGGGGGATTGGAAACTCCTCCAGGGCTGAGGTCTTACTAATGACCTTATTCTATGTGCCAAGAATTCAGTTGAACCCCACATTTGTTTCCCAATAAAAAACACGGCTTGTTTTCCCATTCCCAAGACTTGCAGAGATCTTGAGTACCTCCGTGAGAAATGACTCTCCTGTAGGGCTCGATGACCTTCATGTCAATCCGCTGTTCCTGCTCTCCGATCACCACTGTCCTCCACAGACGGTTGTCTTCTCGCTCCTCTTCGGCTGTATACTCTGGAATAGACTCTGACTCTTGGCCAGAGCTTCTGTTGGTTGTGGGATCTTCTGGAAGTGAAGCACAGAGCAGGGCTGAAGCGACAAGACTTTCTAGGGGAAAGTGGGTTAGAGACTGGATTGTCAGCTACCTCCTCGAAAAGCCACCTGCTGGAGCTGTACACTATGAACAGCTTCCTTAGAGGTAGACAGCAGCCTGACCATACAGCACCTACCTTATAGACTGACGGAAGAACCAAATCCTTCCCTAAGGTCATGCTCAAGTAGGAACAGTCTCGGTTAGAGTTCTGGTACCTCCTCATCTTTGTTCATGAGGTTAAACACTATAGGTCTTTCTGGTGGGGTGATATCAGGCCCAGATACCTTAGGTTTCTGAGGCCATTGCCCCTGGTTGCTGGGAGTGTTTGTGTGCCTTTATGTGATGACACTACCTCTTAGACCTCTGTCTGCTAGATCTCTGTCCCTCTTCCGACAGGGATGAAGCCCCTTGTCCTGTTGTGAAGCTAGGGCATATGATATACAGAAGGCTGATAATGCTTCCCACACATTATTCCAGAATATGCTACAGTAAAGACTATACAGTGAACGGGAAACAAACAACTTCGTAGACTGGAAATTCCCTGACAACTTTTAAACTTTTGGGTTCACAAAACAACGACAACAACCAAAAGCCCCACTGAATATTCTTTGGTCAAAGTTTATTCTTATGCATTCAAAATAATAATCATGTTGTTCATTAAAAGAATAAGCTGCAAGTGTTAGCCATTTTTACTAGAAGTACTGATAGAGTTCAGCAAAAGGCATTCTTCATAGCTTTAAGTACTCTGAAGGGAAAGGTTATATATTACCTTTCTATAACTCTGAGATGTGGCTGTTCTGATTTTTACATTGTGGGGAAAGACCATTTAAATGACACTGTGGGAAAAGACCATTTAAATGATATTGCTCGTTGCCTCTGTGGCACCGTGATAGGAACAGCAGTGCTGTGCCTCCGAACCACTGGTACTAGCATGGCAGTGGGTGTTAAAACGGACATTGTACCAATGCAGAACTTGGTGACAAATTAGTAACAAATACGGTCGACGCCTGCACCTCTGCAAACTCTCCAAAGCTGCTGGGTTATGACTCCCAGTCTGAAGAGGCTGTGGATTCCTTGGCCTAGGGAACTTTGTCTGAATAACCTTCAATGCTCACCTTCACAGACACTTCACACAGTTAGTTCAGAAACCTACTCAGAATCCACAAACTCTGGGAAGGTGAGTGGGTAAATGCAGGAGAGCTTGAGCAAGCTCTTGCAACTAGAGATAGTCTGTCTATAAGGACCCACAACACAGCATTGCATCCTGGAAGATTCGGCTGTCATTAAACATTCCTGAGTACCTAATTACTTGGGACTCAGCATTGGAAACTGAAGCTCAGCTGGGAAGCCAACCTAGTCTTCTTTGACAACACCAACAGCTACAGCACCCACAGAGCCCGGGCTCATTCTGGTTCCACTGTGGTCCCAGCGGCACTCGGCAGCTTGTTAAGGATGGAAGGCTGCACCCACGGCTTCTAATCAAGCACCATGTCACCTGGTGCAGACCTATTTATTTGTCTGGCATTCCTTCCCACTTCTTCCTTTCTACTTGAGTTGGGAAACCAAGCTAGTAGCTCTCTAGCTCTCTCAGGTTCCGTGTTTCTCATCCTGTCCCTGATGCCTAAGAACTCTGTGCTCAGACATGGTATGTCTTCTGATGTTCGTGAACATATGTGCCCTTGACATCAGTCACCTCACCAACCTATCAGACCCTTCATGAACTTACCATGCATCTAAATCAGTGAACTCACCACTCACCAAACTTTCTACAGCATGTTTGGTCCTGTAATTTGGTAGTTTGGTACTCTAGCCTGCTCTAGTTTGTCCTTGGTGATCTCTGTGGAGTGATACTGGGGTGTGTTGTGTATATATATATAATATATATATTATATATTATATATATACATATATATAATACATATAGACTCAAACCTGCATCTGTTCACAAACTAGCTAAAATTGGATCATACGCCTAATGTAAAATGTCCAAACCATAAAACTAGAAGACAATGTAAGAGAAAAATCTGATTGACCTTGGCATAGAGATGGTATTTATGTATATATTTATTTGTTTGTTTTATTAGGGCTTGCCATGCTACCTGGGCTGGCCTAGAACTCATGAGCACAAGCATGCCCCCTTCCTCAGCCTCCCGTGTATCTGGGCCTGAAGGAATGTGCCACCGGGCCTGGTTCTGCAACTGATGACTTTAAGATATAACACTAAATTCATGGACTAAGTAATGGCGAATTAGATTGTGTTCAAGTTGAAAATGTGCTCCGAGAAAGACAGCACCAAGAGAATAAGAGGGCAGCTACAGACTAGGAGAACGTATCTCTAGAGTACAAATCTGGTAAATGATTATTATTCAAAATGCACACAAATGCTTAAGACTTAACATTAAGAAAATGAACTATTTGATAAGCAAATAAGTGGTACAATGGTGGTAGGGCTGTACCTCAGTAGCAGAGTGTTTTCCTTCTATGCACAAGATCCTTTGTTCAGTTCCTAGCAACACAACACAACACACACACACACACACACACACACACACACACACACAAGAACTGAGCAGACATCACCTCATCAGTGGAGATACAGTTACCAAGGAAGTCTAAGAAAAGATGCATGACTTCATTTATCATTAGAGTATTTTAAGAAAATACAATAGTGAACTATTACTATGGATACTACTAGAAAGGCCAAAGTCCAACACATGACAAGCACCAAACTCCTGAGAATGTGGTGCATCAGGGACTCTCATGGGTTGACGTTGGGGATGGAAATGTTACAGTAACTTTGGAAGACAATTTGGAAGTTCTTTTATGAATAAGCTCCTCTCACTGCGAAGTCCAAATCCCTTGTAATTAGCCAACAGGGAGGGTATTTCCAGATAAAAATCTTCACATGTATGTTTATAGTAGCTTTGTTCATACTTGCCAAAACTTTCAAGCAACCAAGATGTCTGTCAACAAGCGACTGGAAAAGCAGAGTGTCCCATCCATACACTGGAATATAATTAAGTGCCGAAAAGAAATGAATCCTCAAGATGTGAAGGAATCATAAATGCCGAGCAGAAGGCCACTCTAAAAGGCTACTTACTGTGTGATTATAACCATCTGACACTCTGTAAAGGGCAGAGCTAGAGAAAAAATAAAAGGATCAGTAGCAGCCAGAGGGGTTAGAGGGGTTTGTGCAGCCATTTTCTGCAACAGGAAACCCTGTGGTTCCATCTATTTCCCTTCTCATTGACATAAATTGGGAGAAAATAGAATCATTTAAGAAACAAGGGGAGGGCTGGGGATATGGTTCAGAGGCAGAATGATTGCCCAGCTTGGGGATGGCAGGGGAAGAACAGGGGAGGGGCGAGAGAAAGGGAGAAGAAGAAAAGGAGATAGAT